TGAATACAAACTTTAAGAAGAGAAGCCCTTTTCTTCCATCAAACCATCATATATACCTATAAGGTTATCTAGTTCATACTGCCCATACTCAAAAAACATCTTTTTAAAAGGCCAATGTTTCAGCTGAAACTTCATTCCAATTGAAGGCTAGCAGTCTCTATTCAACTACATTCTGGACAGCTTTAACAAGGATGTTTACATCCTTGACCACCATTACCATTCTATACTTTTGCTGCCTGGTGAATCTTTTTTCTTACTACCTGTCTGAAGTTCAATGTCACGTAATTTTGAATAATTAAGATGTTTTTTTGCAGAATTTGCCCAGTATTTCATCTAACTTTAGACCTTTGACATTGAGAATTGTACTTAAAAGTTTAAGCAAGCTTTCAAGAGTGTTGAGTTGTTCCAGATAATAGGGTTGAAAGATGATAATCGAATCTACTAACTTCAACATTTCAGAAATGGACCAAATTTCATGGAGATCAGGATACTTTTCAGGCCTTCAGCTCCTGATTCCTCCTGAGCTTAGTTCTAATTGGGGTAAATGGATAACTATTGCTGGCCAGTTTTAGTGCAAGAGTCTTGATAGCTATTTCTCTGTGGACAACTACATGAATGGCCATGAGAGGTGGCCTTTAAACTTCAGTATCAAGGACCTTACCAGTGGTTTGTACACCAATCCACTTTTAAGATAAAAAACGGTAAAATTTGTAGATCTTATGCGCTGTGTTGTACTGCGAGGACCAATCATGGGGTCTTCTTTTTCTTCAAAATATCATGCCATTTACTTTGCCCACCTTAACTGCTGGCTCATTAACCGCACATACAACCTTTTTTCCCCAGACACCAAAGTTTCCATAATCAGTGATGCTGGATACAAATGAGTGGAAGTCTAGAGTGGACCAAAACATCAAGTAGTACTAGTTCAGCAGTCTGCAAAAACACGTGGGCGTTACACGAAAGTGTAGGAAAAAGTAAATTTTGTTGTAGGAAGAAAGCATATATCACACGAAGAATAACACAGAATAATTGATTTGTTTTTAGTAAATACAATTCCACACAAGCTTGGACTATATTCATGGTGGACAGAAGTTAAGACAGAAATAAGAAATCAACAGCAACTTGTCAGAAGAAACATTGTAAGTATGCTTACAATGTTTTATTTTTCAACGAATCACACATACTTGTTAGTTACGTTCCTCCCTCCTGTTCCTGTCTGCCTAGGCACAGTTGTAAAATAGTTACTGGTAGTATAGAGCATACATACATATACACACACACACACATATATACACGTACATATATATATATATATATATATTTAATGTATAAAGATAAATTTATTATTAATTAACTATTTTCATTTACTCATACTTACCTTTAATACTTATTCTCCCAACACTTTTCTTAAAAGTAATTCATTGTTATTTTTCACAAAAAAATATTTCATACTGTGACATTATTTTTTAACTTCATGCATCAAAGTTTGCTGTAAAACTACATCTACTAGTGTCTACATCACATGCTACATCATGCAAACCTCTGTGCATGAACAGGATTTTAACCATGGGAAATATGGTATATAATTAGTTGTTCATATGTGTACTGCCCAATCAAAACAGGTGTTTCACAAACTGCTGTTTGCTCGTTGTAAACAGCAAATGATGGCCATTTTCACAACTTAGTGCAGCTATATATTGGTTGTTTTATGGATTTTGTTAAAATTCTTAGTTTTAGGACTTACCTGCACACATTTACTTGTACCAGGTAGTATTTTACTTGTGAAATACAAACTTTATATGATAAATTTTTAGCCGTGCAACATAAAGTCACAGACCACTAAACAAATTAAGCTGTTTGTCAGTGAAAATATAGACCTTACATTGTGCAATGACATGTGAGATTAGATGTCTGTATGTGTGTGTGTAATAATACAAGTAATTATGTAAACAATATTTTGAAAAACATTAATATTTTGCTGCAAGTTGGAGTTTAATAACAAGATACATCCAATAAAAACACCTGGGATGGAGAATGGTTTCATCTGAAGAACTTTAACTTGAAATAACTCAAAACATACAATAAATGAATAAATACAGATATGCATAGCACTAGAAACAGCAATGAATTTTCAAAGGCATTTCAGTAAAGCAGAATGCCTGAAAAGGTTATCAAAAAGCCTAATATCTCATATGTAAACATGGTCAATCATATATACTTTGCAAAGGATCACAAAAATTGGAAAACTAATGGACATCATGATACAGTCTCTCAAAATGAGAACTGAGCTACTTGGAAACTTCAGGTTAGTTTTGACCATGTGATGTTTAAGCATGTGTATAAACACCACAGAGAAATGTGGTGGTGTGGGTTTATTTTTCTTTGTTATAGGTGTGGGAGATATTGCCAAAACTAGTAGTATTATACAAAAGCAGCAGTATCACAACACCCTGATTAAGCATGCAATACTCAATGGATGATAGTTAAAGCCATAGATGCAAGCTGAAAAAGTTATTTTTCATTTTAAACTTTAAAGGATATGTTTTGAAATCAGCCCTTACAGTTTTAGGCATTCTGAAGAGATTAGTGTCCATTAAATAGGTAAGCTTCAAGAACTGGAGAATGGGGGCCAATGAATAAGTTCATAATTGTCCAATTACTTCAGTAGACTATCATCTATGACCTTAATATGTTGTCTTTGAAATTAGTTGGATAAAAATTCAAAAACAATTGTCCTGCTGAATACATGGATGGCAGCAGAGAAAAGTTAGATTGACTGAAAACACTCAGGGAGAAGATAAAGGGGAGATGAGTGCCTCCTTGAAGCTGAACAACTTTTACACTCTGAAATGCAATCAGTCATTATCTGAAGCCTATTGCTCAGAGAACTGTGTTGCTAAAAGAGCATATGTTATACAGTAAAATTACAAACAACATAGAAAGTATATCCTGGGCTGTCCAGCTTCTTCAGCCATTGGCTAAATGGTCTATTCTGTATGTCTCTTAGCTGGAGCCACTCCCAATGCCATTTGTTTTTCAGATTTTTTTCTAGATCCTTCAAACATGAACTTGGTTTGACATTTAACACTCTAAATATACAGTACGACCTAATAAAGACACAGCCAGCAAATCTACAAAATGAAATGAGATCCTTTATTGTAACTTTTAAAAATAATTTCAAATATAGAATGGACTATAATCTTTATATTTATGTACATTATATAGAAGATATTTATACCAATATTAGTATATATAACATTAAACTAGTGATATATAGAAGTTAACTAGACATACCCAAAAATTTACAAGTCCAGCTCTATAAAAATTTTGGGCAATTGACAACAGGCAGATTTTCATTGTCCCAGCCCACTACACTACCCCTTTTGCAAGTAACTTGTTACAGTCACAGTGTTTTACTTCCTAAGTTAAAGTCACAACAGTAGTCAATAACACTAGGCACTACTGAAATAATGGAATTATGAAATAGATTTATATTAAAATACTATTAGATCTAGTCTAGGACTTTTGGGTTAGGCTGTATTATTGGCATTAAGACCTTACAGGCTTACTAAGCATGCAGCCAGGTAAGCCTCCTTAGTACCTAATTTTACCATGTTTACGATGACATCATTGTTAATGCTAACTTTAGACTGTTTAGTTTTACAATTTCCAACTAAGTTATGAAGAGTTAAGGGGGATCTGATTGAGGTGTTTAAGATTGTAAAGGGAATTGACAGTGTTGACGTATCATCTTCTTTTTATATTTAACAATGAGAATAGCATGACTAGGGGACACAAATATAAATTTTGGCAAGGTCAGAGTCATCTTCAGCTAAGACAGTTTCATTTTTCCAGCACGGTGGAATGGGCTGGCTTCAGATGTTGTAGAGGCAGTAAATTTAAGTGAGTTTAAGAAAAAGCTTGATAAGTATATGAATGAAAAAGGTCGGGTTTAAATTTTGATTATTATTTTTTTAAAATCATTTTAATTTAGTTTTGAGGATGGAACAGCCGAGATGGACCAATAGGTCCCATGTTGTCCCAAAATATTATGTTACGTTGTTATAGGCTACGTCACTCACAAGTTCAGGCCTATTACAGACAAAACAAAGTGAATATAGATCTAGATCGAGTTTGATTACTTTCTCAGCTGTGTACAAGAATAACTTTGAATGGATCATCTCTAAATTAGCACGTAAATTGTGCATAAATAACTTCCTAAAAATTCTCACATATTCAACAACAACACGTCTGCCACAATGTGATGCATACTTCACTTTGAAAAACTGCTGATCAACTATATTATTACTAATATACACATGCTGGTCTACAATTTTTCAGAGTTTTTCCAAAGTTGCATATCAGTAAATGTTCATCTGGATGTTTTAAAGTAGGCAAACATTTGTAGTAGCCATTTGTTTAACAGTTTTGGCTATTGAAATAAAGAAGTTGGGTTTTTTAACTTACCGACTTAAATTTTTTTCAGTTGACAGAACTCTGCTTTCCCTGTGAAAAAGAGTTAGCTCGAGAAGAAGGAAATAACTGGATATAAAAATTTTGAAATGGTCAGGCCAAAGTCCCAGTGCTATTTCAACTGACAATCTGTGGCATCAATTAAATATTAGCATTGCAAAAGAGAACCAACTCATTCAAAGTACCTTTGCAAAATTTGGCAACAAAAATAGAATGAGATACTATGTGTATACTGAAAAAAAAACAAAAAAAAACTGGAAGCATTCGTGTTTGTTTCATCTTGTCATGTAGCTTAGGTTATAAGAAAACCTATTAAATAGTAATTATTAAACTTATGTTCCAAAATGAATTCATGCATAATATTATAATGAGTGTAACAAATTAATCAAAAATATGCTTTTTTGGCAACTTTTCTTTAAAACCGTATACCCTAGCTTATGATCAATACTGTATTTAAATACTGCCCATCAATATATTATATTGATAATGAAAGAAAATATAAAATCAAAACATAAACCAAAACTCACAAGATGGAGCACTTCATTTCTTGTAAAATTCGATTTCTGGAAAGCTTCTGGAAAATGAGCCTTCAAGATGGTACACAAGTGGCTTAGTTGCTTTCTACGTTCTCTCTCCTGTAAAGTTCTATAATTGGGGAAATCTTCTGCATCCTTTTCACTAGCACTCTGTGAAGCATCATCACTTCTCTGCTCCTTTAATGTCAACTTTGATTTTATCCAGTTATTACTTGTGCAATTTTCTAAAGGAATCTGTTCCACATCTTGAAGAGAATACGATTCCATTAATGACTCGGATTCATCAAGATCTTTTTCAAAAGTATTATGGGGCTGATCAGAAAAGTTGTGATTAACATCAACTGTATCTTCACCTACAACAGGTTCAGGTTCTTCACTAACTACATAAGAATGATCCAAAGAATCACTTCTGCTTGTTTTACTTTGATATTCAAAGCAGAAATGCCCTTCTTTCAGGTTCTTTTTCCCCAAGATTTTCTTTCTTGTAGGATCTGTAGAATGTTTAATATGCTCCATTATCACAACTTCTCCACTGTTTTCAAAAACTTTTTTTCTATGATTTTCATTACTGTTCATGTTTGTTGTTTTACACGTACCAAAAACAGAACTTGGTTCTTTTTTTTGTTGGCAAGTGTCCTCATTTAAATTATTTAACTTTCTGGTTTGGTTACCTAATTCATTGCTTATTTTTATCTCAGTATCATTTGAGGTATTACAACCCTCAAGAGATGGGTTGAGTTTTTCTAGTAGACTGGGGGAATTTTCTAACAGGGGTATGGATTTTTTTTGTTCAAAGTCAATTCTATTCAAACTATTAATATTTTTTGGAACATTGTTTGTGCCCGAGAGACTTCTTTTCAATAAACTACCACCATGGCTTGATACTAGAGAAGTGTGTGTATAGTTTTTCTTTTTTCCAATATTTTTATCAGAAGTTGAAGGATAATGATGCTTAGAATCATCTTTTTTTACACCATTTGCAACAGGAAAAGATGGAGAAACCTGAGAAGAATTCTTTTCAACTTGTCCTTTTGAAGCCACTCCTACAACTGTTGTTACAGGAGCATTATCTGTTGAAGCAAGGGATACACTGGCTGAAGCTGGACCTTTAATGGGATAGGCCAAAACAAAGGACCCTGCAATCTTCAACATGACTGGAGAGGAAACATGAACTACATTTTTATTTACTGAAGATACAGATGAAAGATTTGGTCTAATCACAGGTGAAATGTTTGTGGTTTTCACTTCTAGTTCAGGATTTACAGACATTTTACATTTTGAATTAGAGACCACTTTTACCAGCTGCTTTGGCAATGGGCTTGTTACTCTTACTGTAGAAGAGTTAGTTGAGGCAAATCTAATATTGTTTGTGGCCTGTGAAACACACTGAGAAACTGTAGGAGTTCTAGATTCTACAGAAAGTTTCTCAAAAGGATTTTCTGATAAGTTTTTTAATGTATTGGAAACATTTATCTGATTTTGCTGAAGACTACTGTCTAAAAAGGTTAAAGGTGTTGTTACAGAATGTATAACTTTGGGTGATGAAACTGTCTGCTTGACCTGAGCAGAAGTTGTTACACTGAATTTTGAAAGATTAAGTTTAGCATCTGTTACTCCTTGCAAAATATTAGACTTTTGGTTTAAAACAACTGAATGAGCTCCAGATGAAGGTACAAGTGAATCTGTTAACTGGTTGGAAGTTTTACTACAAAGTGTAACAGTTCGAGTAAGTAAAGGCACAGTGAAGGATCCATTATTTCCTTGGATGTTCTGAGTAGCTGGGAATCTGGTAGGATTAGGGTGATTACTTCCAGGAGTCAGCATTATTCTTGAAGGTGAAACAGACAAGCTTTCAGGTTTTCCAGCTTGTTGGAAAACCAAGGAGTTTGTAGGAAACACAACCATTGACACAGTTCTATTTCCTACCACAACATTTAATGTCATAGGTTTTCCCTGCTGCAAAGACTGGGCTATGGATGGTTTTTGGTGAGTTTCAGCATTTTTACTTGGTATTTTTATTTCGGAGTTAATTATCTGTTCATTACTAGTTTTAGATTTATGATCTCCTGGTGATTTTTTATTTTGATCAATTGATGGAATTTCCGATTTGTTTAACGAATCTCTTCTCCTTGTACCACATACATTATTATCACAAACCTTTTTTGTTTCACTACTTGATCCAAGCAAAGAAAGTTCTGATGCAACATTTACTCCATTAATAACCTTATCTGGCAAACAAAACTTGATTTTCTCTGGATAATTAACTTGATTTGTGATTATGGAACAATCAACTTTTTTTGTAATTGTGGATTGTTCTTCAACAGCTTCTTTTATGCCTTCATTGATCCTTTCCATCTTAATACCTTCTTGAGGTTCTTTATTTTTTAACTTAACAGAAAACTGATTTTTCAATTTATCCATTTCTGTACCTTGTTTAATATTTCTCACATTTTTCACTACAGAATCAACAGTAATAATACTAGAAGAGACACAACTGAAAGAACCCAATTCCTTGCTAACAGAATCTAACATTGAAGTCTTTGTGTTAGAGCATTTCTCAGCTCTTTTTCTGTCTGACAGTGATTGATTTTGGACAAACATATTTTCATCAGTCTGATGGCCTTCAATAATATTTACATCTGACTTAAGTGTACCAAAATCTTCACCATGATTAGCACTTCTACTTTTTTTTATATTAAGTTTATTTACAATGGTGAATGTGGTGATGGTGCTAGCTTACAAGTGACTTTCTCTTGATTGAATTCATCCTGTTCAAATCCCCTTTTAATAGATCTTTTTCTTTGATTTTTACTAGGAGAATGTGAAATTGCAGGAGCAACCCATGGTCCACTATTTGCAACTAGCAGAGCAGAATCAAGGTAACGAGCTGGAAGCCTGATACACCTCCGACTTCGTGGTGAAGATTCTATGAGTGCATTCTGAGCTTCTACTTCACGATTATCTTGTTTTTGAAACTTCAAGGGTTTTGAAAATCTAGTATTATGGTTCTTTACTCTAGAGTTTCTTTTAATCAAAAGTTGCTGGGATTTCTTTGCATGACCAATATTAGTCTGAATAACTTTCTTTCTTGACTTAAGTTTTCTCAATGAATAAATGGAATTTGATTCATTATTTTCCAAATGAATGGTCCTCACAGTGCTTTTCTTCCTACTTGGAAACAATCTTTTTGAACCTAATTTGTTTTTCTTCACTGTATTATACTTTGAAATCTTCCATGTATCCTTTTTGTCCAATTTGCTGAAAGTCTTGCGAAAAACGTTTTTTCAAGGAATCCATTTTTTGTGTTTTACTATTAAAAGCCTCACTATTCTTGAAATTGACTTTCTTACTTGGTTCCATGCTTTTACTAGTGTTTGACATGACACTAAAATTCAAGGATGATAAAGCTTGTTTTGCACTTTCTTCCGAAATAATAGGAAAAAAGCATGATATGTTTTCAAGACCATATCTACTGTGAACATCTGATGATAAATTCTCAGCCAATTTGTTCAATTCTACCTCGTTTAATATTCCATCTGTGCAAAGAGTATGTCTAATAAGTGGTACAATAGACTTCTGTGAAGCATTTACACCCAATGACTCAATCCCACTTACATTTATATGTCCTTCTGTTTCATGTTTTTTTAGTTTTGTTTTGTTGACTGGAATGAAATTTCTTTTATTTTTCTTTGATGTGTTTTCTGCTAAACTTCCTAAATACTTTCTATTAAGATTTAATCTTTCTGCAGGGTTCCTATATAAGCCATCAAAAAGAGTCCTTTCATAAAATTCAAAATTTAACTCTGATGGTAGTACATTGTCATTTTCTTTTTCATGATCTTGGACATCTTCTTTTTCTTCTGAAGACTCTAAAATGTTGTTATTACATTCACTTTCAGATTTCTTCAATAATTTTGCAGCATAGCTTTGCTTTGTTCTAACAGATTTATCTTTTTTAAGTGAGCCCATTGACAAAACAGCTGCAGTGGGAGGTAAAAGAGTAAGAGGAGAATAACGTGCAAGCAATCCAACTTTTAACTCAGCTTTGGTGTCAAGAAACTCTTCTAGCAGTTCACTTACAAAAACCGTGTGTGAACTTCTGTTTTCAATAGAATCAAGAGAATTTACCACTTTTTCACTATTTCTGAATTTTGAGGCTAGTTTTTCAGAAAATATGACCAATGGTGACAATGCAAACTTTGCTATATCTGCCCAAATTTTATAATCATTTTTATATTTTAAGACAACACTATTCAAAGTACTATTGTGTGAGACATCATTTTGCTTATATGTTGATGAAATTTTCTTCTTATCACAAAAACTATCTTCACTGTTTTTGTTTTCATTACTTTCAACGGAATTACACATACCTTCTACTTTTCGATGAAATAGTTTTTTCTTCCAACCCTTTATCTTAGTAATATCCTTGGTCTTGGTTGGTATAATAAAATCTTTGTTGATAGCGTGACTAGATATTACTGATTGTCTATCTTCTTCCACCCTAAATGACAGCTCATTATCATTAAGCCAGTCACAAAATGTAAGAGTATATTTAGTGATGTCTTCCTCATTTTTGAAACCTAAAAATTCAACTCCATCAATTATATCCATCTCTGGTTCTTTCCATCCTTTTATAACACCAGTTTCTTTCATCTTCTCTGAGAACAGGATATGGTTTGTGTGTAGTTTTTCATGACATGACATGTTTTGCAAATTGGAATTAGAAAAGCTATAAGATGGACACACTGAAAGTTCTTCTGGTGTAATTCTTTCAACAAGAACAACTGGCTGAAACAGAGAATGCTTTTTTAAATTTGTGTTCTGCACAACTGATTCTTCACACACATATCTCCTAGGAAATGACTTTCTAGCAGTTCTTTTAGGTATGGGTTTAGTGCAGTATTCATTCTTGGTATAAAATGACCTGTTAGTTTCTTGGATTCCCATTTTTTTTGTCACAGACAGACTTGAGCAAGGTGTACTGCTCAAAAATGAAGCACATAATTTTCTACTTGAATTAGTATTATACATAAGTATGTCTAAATCACATTTTTTAGATATCTCTTCTGAAGAAATATTAATTTTAGGTTCTTCAAGAGAAAGAACAGGAGGTTCTTCATGTTCTGATGTAAAAGGAATTAATAAAGGCATTTCAGGAGATAATGGTGCAACATTTTCAACAGTATCATCAAATGGGATAGGAAGAAGTTCTGGCATATCTTTCTCTTCTGGGGAACCTGGAATTGATTGAAGACTGTCATGAAGATTCACATTACTGTTATTTTCAGATAAGCTACAGAATTTTTCTAAATTATCTCTGGGTGACGGATCAGCTGATTCTCCTTCATTTTCTTCTTTTGGTATAGCTATGCACGAACTCAATTGTTCTGCTGCAAAAACTGAGCATTCTGACTTATTTCCATTCAAATGTCTTTGAATTTCTGTCATTGTATCATTCTTATCTTCTGAGTCAAAAGATGGACCTGGTTGAGAACTAACAGAATAAGTTTTTCTATTATCATCTGAATGTTTTTTATTTGTAGATTTTCTTCTGAAGCAGTTTTTTCTTGTTTTGCTGTTAAAATATTTTAAAGGGTGTGAAGCTTGCCTTTTATGAAATGATTTTTTAACAAATTGAAAGCCAGAGTGACTAGCTACATTTTTATTCCTATGATTTTGTTTTTTCTTCTGGAGCATTCCCACATTTTCCTTTGCATCTGATGTTAGTAAATATTTTGTTTTTTGTAGTGATAATTCTCTGTACCCACTGTGCTTCTGGTATAAGAATGATAATCGTTGAGAGCTGAGTCTCTTTTTTTTCAGTCTTTCACTAGACCGTGCTGTAGTTATTTTGGATTTTCTAGATACATTTCCAGTCACTGGCGTGATAAGAATATTAGGATTTTCATAACATTTGTAATCATGTAACAATTCTTGTTTTGACTTTACCTGCAAGGAACTTAATGAGCTACAAGTGAAAACAGGAACAGTCTCACTCATACTTCCTTCTTTAGTAGAAGTAAAATCATCTTGTGTCACAACAGGAATTCGCATCATAGGCTTAATCTTGACAACAGGAACTTCCGATGATCTTGACTTACTATGAATGAATGGCATTCTTTTCAAAGATTTGGTAAGAACACCATTATTTTCCCTAGATTGAAATGAAAAATTCTTATTTTCACTCTTCATTACTAACAACTCCTTTTTAATTTCCTGAGTAACAAAGCTTCGAAAAGGTTTTACTAAAGCCTCCTTTTTAGTAGTGGTATTCTCTTCTATGCTCTCCTCATAACCACTAAATGGTTCTATTGTATGACATAATCCCTTTTCATTTTGCTTTAATCCTAATTCACACCTTGAATTGCTATCACCATGTTCTTTTGCTTTTATGATTTTGTTCTTATGAACAGACAAGAAATCTTGTGCACCAAAGTCTGCATTTTCAAATAATGAACCATCTTCTTGTGTCTGCTTCAACAATCTAGGAAATAAATTACCTTTTTGTAGTTGACAGAGTTGATTTTCGCTTGAAACTCTGCTAAGAATGTTTTCATTGGATAAATTTTTATAGTTTCTATCTTGAAAACTTGGTTCACACCCTTTTACATTTTTACATTCCTGGTTAGGATTACTTTTATTTTCCATCAGGCATTCTTGCTTTACAGAATGTGTCAAATCTTCTTTGTTTGGAAATGAGTTGACTGATTTATGTGAACATACAGTTGATATAAAATGAGATTTTAGATCTCTAACAGAATCATCACATGAGTTTGTAAGGTTCAAATCTGATTCACCACAATATATATCAGGATTATTCAAAATTATACTTTTCTTAGAAGACCAATACTGCCTATAAGAAAATGGACTTGAACAAGATTTTCTTGCTGTTACTTTAGGTCTAAGCTCTAAGAAATTGTGAATGAAGGGAGGATTCATGACTCCAATGCTTTTTTTTCTTTCCACTCACATTGTACCTAAAATAAGTGGAGATAAATAATAAAATACTTAATAAATCAACAATAAAGTAAATTTATAAATTAATCTCAAACAATCAGAAATTCATATATCGAAAGATGTACTTAAAACCTAATACAATATATCTGTATGCACCTTGATACAATATCATATTAATTAGCATTTAAGTTCTGAATTGAACCCTCTTCAGAATCATATTGCAAGATCCTCAGCCACAAGTATAATTAGAATGTTGCCACAACTTATATAAAGAAAACTGATCATTATAATATATAACTTAAAACTTTCTTATTCTAACTACAGTGAAAACATTTTTGTAATTTTTGTATGCAGCAATAATATACTTGTATATAGCTGTATTTGCTTACTGATTCACTTTATTAACAGGTAATTTTACACTAAGTAAAAAATTGTGAATTTTTTTTACTTGCAGACTATGGTGTATAAAATTACAGCTGGGCAATTAGTGGAATTTGTTAATGGATTAATTGTTGGACTCATTAATTAGTTACATTCAAGTAATCCATTGTTCTCAAAACATAGCCCAAAAAACTTTATATTGCTAAAGTCTAATTTTCATACCTTTAATAAGCAGAGCACAGATAGCCCATTATGTATCTTTATGCTTAACAACAAATAAACATTATAATGGCAATATTTTGATTACTTAGAAAGTTGGAATGATCAAAAATAGTAATAATAAGAAACCCTAATTTATATTATTTAATTATTTTTTATGGGTCATGACACTTATTAAGCTGAACAAGTATGAATAAATTGAAAATAATAAGGAAAATTCATAATGGCAATATCTGATTAATGGATAGCTGAATAATCAAAAACAATAATAGTTAGAAACATTAATTTCAATTTGTTGATTATTTTCACATTAGTAAATTTAATCATAATTTCAATTACTGGACAGCTTGAATAAATTAAAATGGTAATAATAAGAAATACTAATTTCAATCAGTAATTATTTCATGACATTAATCGATTACTGGACTGTTGGAATAATCAAAAATAGTAATTACTGGAAATACCAATTAATTATTTTCAATATTAATCAATTACTGGATAGTTGGAATAAGCAAAAACAACAATAGTTATTTTTGCGACAATTTTGGGTAATTGAATATAAATTATTATATATCACTCTAATCAATATTCACTGATAATCAATTATATTATTTAATTAAGTTAATCACCTACTTCTATATTAAAACAAAAGGCTTGTAACTTCATGCCAACCGATAACATTCAAATAGTGGTGTTGTAGTCACAAATTAGCAAATACCTGCTTTGAAGTGCTAAATACGAACTTGAAAAACAGCATATGAGCTACCTAGCCTAAAAGATGATTAATAATCTGATTCTTGCAGTTATTCTTTCATTATTAAGTTAATCAATAAAGACGTCTAGCCAATTACAAGGTTTATAATACAGAGGAAAGAGCTGACAGTATAACAACATAACTTATCTCTCACTGTTAGAAACAGTGTACTACAAGCATCCAATGATACCAAATATCGAGAACCTCAAATTTCTTACATGTGTTGTTTTAACATTTGTTACACAAGCCAGCCTATCATCTTGATTGGACAAGAAAAAATAGAGCCATTCCAGAAAGGTTTGGGTTTTGATTAGACAAAAAAAAATGGAGAAGGTAACTTGTAAATGTAAAGTAAAACAATGTAGTAATGAAACACGTTTGAAATGTTCTAGATGTGGTCGTAAATGTGATGGTTAAGTGTAGCAATTAAGCAACACCATAGATCCAGGTCAGATGAGGGAAGAACTTAATCGAAGATATCCCAATTGATTTGACATACCAGTTGAATCAAAGATTCATCAATTGATTACTGCATTGACAAGGAAACATAAAAAAATGGGCACAATTGTATCATTATCTTGAAAAAGGGGGATTAGAATCATATAAAAAAATCATTAGTTTCAACATTTTGTAAAACTAATGGCACAGTAAAACCCAAAGATGCAGTGTTGAAGTTAAAGCAGATGCACAATGACATTCCAAGTTGATTTCCCTAATGATTCTCAAATTACATATGTCAGTTGTGCAATGAAGATTACATTCAAGAATAATGGTATAATGCCCAGTATGGTATCATATTATAATCCATATGGATTTCATTATATTGTATTTTCATTAATATTTAGTTTTTGATTTTAGAAGTTATGCCAAGCTTCATTCATGGAGATCTATCAAAATAACCTTAAATAACCAGTTTCTAAAATGACCCTCCTATTGACCATTCCAGGTTCAGTACTAAAATATGCTGGGCTGGCTCATGTGGCAGGTGTTAATACATTTGTATTCCTTATTCAACAAAAACTCTTGACAGTTACATATTTTGGACAAATAACTACAGATATTGTTTTGTGAATGCCATTAACTTATATTTCTTTCAGTGTTGTTCAAATAATCTAAATTCAAGACCCAATAAAGATAATTTGACATATAAAATCAAGATCAATCTTGGAGATGCACCTTGAAAACTAGTTTATACCTATTTTAATGTAAATACTTTATCACTTTGTCAAAACATTGAGAATTACTAATTGTTTTAGTTTTTTTATATAAACATTAACTTTAAATATATTAATTCAGACACGTATATTAAAAAGGAGCTGTTCTATATCTTTAAATTTGTGTTCAAACTATGCTATTATATGCAAATATTTGGAAGTTTAAGTTTACACAAAATTTTATATGCTTAGAAAATGCATTTTTGGCAGTGTTTAAGAGACATGATTACACTGAAACTAGAAACAGTTAAGCTAGAAACTTAAAAGCCCTGCTTGTTAATTAATTATAAACCATGTATTAAATTTTATTGAAGGAGCGAAGATCAAACTGGTGTGTCATTAAATCAATATATTTACTATATATTTGTACACTTATGCAGTATATTACTAAAAGTACTGGAACACTGATCTAAAGAGAGTGTCATATAGTTGTAAGCTATATTTTGAATGTTTTGATTCAGAAGTTTCTTTGCCACAGAGAGCTAATGACCATGATGATGAAGTAATTAAGAGCCTCTGTCTAATAGCTAAAGATGAAGATACATTATATATAAATACAAGTAATAATGTGGTGAAGTTAATGACAATTCATTGAATTATTTAGTATGAGAAATCAGTTCAGGGTCAGAAAAGTTATATGATGAGAATTATCACTTATATTAGTTGTGGAATTTTAAAAGTTTATTTTTGTAAGTTAGGTGTAATACTATTAGCAAGGAATTTCTGTTGAAAATGTTATTTGTGACCTTAGGCCTAAAACTTCAGTCAATATGAACAAAGCTTGAAGAAAAGTTATAAAACTTCAAACTTCATGATGAAAACCCGGACATGAAGTGAAATCAGAACTTTATTAAAGATGAAGAAAAATCCAACAGAAGGCAAAAAGAAAAAGACGAAAAATTAACAGAAGACCAAGAAAAAAAGTGATATAAAATTAAAAAAGGATTAAATGATAAGAAATAGGAAGTTATGAAAAGAATTAAAAATAAAAATAAATAAGACTGAAGATCAATGAAGCTATTAAAAATGTTCAGAAAATTACAACAATAGGATTGAAGAAATACAGAAAGCCTGTACTCACGAAATAGAAGTGTAAAAAGTTATCAACAAAGGATAGAAAAGCTATAATGACAAAATCAAAAAAGCAATGAAAGGCTGCAATGACAGAGTTAAAGAAGCATGAAAAGAAAAATCAATGACAGAATAAAACACTTGGAAAAAGAATTGGTAAATGCAAAGATCACAACATTCACATCTCTTCCTGAATCATCTAAAGAGTTCTAACCTAAGACATCATTTACTATTAAGTGTGGAATAGAAAACATTTTGAAAGTTATAGTATGGAAACTGATGGTCAATTTGGGGTTACATGGTCAGCATAATCCACTGAGACAGTAGTGAAAGAGTTAAATGGACAGCAAAATGAATATGTTGTTTACTCTGGAAATGATTTCAAACCGAGTTTAATATGCCTCCTGTGGTACCTTCCCATCATAGTCCATTTTTGTTGTTTTTTGGCAAATGCTTTTGACTGGCCAGCTGAATTGTGAAATTTGATTTGATACTGGAGTAGTTCAGGGAGTCCTGCAGTTACAGATGGCACAGCAATATAGATAACTAATCTGTTCACCCTTACAAAATTTTTCAAGTTTTTAATACCCAAGACTTTTCTAGACAAACCAGAATTTTTTAATTAAATATTTTTACTAAAAATCTGTCCACGAATATATGAAATCAGTGTTCACTGCTCTGAGTGCAAAGTGATTTTTATGTTAAGATTAAAAATACTTTTCTTCATATGAAAATTTTCAAATTTCATTTGTGTAATCTCCAAAACCTCCTAATTTGTTTTTCAGAAAAACTTTATATTTTTTCTGTTATTTTCTCTACCCTAACTCTAACCATCCTCGTAACCACCATAAAACTTTAAGTGTTGAAAAATGTGAAATAAAGTGAGTAGTTCCATTCTATCCTCTTTAGTATTGACCACGATGTTCCAAGGTACTTTCCCTGAGAGTTTCTACTTCTAAACTTTTCACATCTATTTCCTATGTTTATTTTACTGTTAGCAGCTGAAGTAGAAACCTGCCAATCATAAAGCAATGAATTGCCACTCCTGCTATTAGACTGTTTACGTGACATCACATGATGCCATCAATAGCAAACAAACTCATGCAGCACAATTACCAGAACTTTTCCAAAAGAGTTTATCATGATACCAGCTCTGAGAACACAGTCAAAGAGAATTTATTGGCTTGTTTATAATACAGTGGTGGCAATGAAAATTGTCTAAAGTAAGTGTGAGAAAATGTTTGATATGGCTCTGTACAAAGTCCAAGCTAATCCAATAAACTTAGTAGGTATTTGGATGCAAGTTAACCTCCCTGGGTGGTTGAAATGTAGTAGTACTAATGCACAATGTAAGTGCTTATGAACATGCATATATATATAT